GGTGCTCCAGCAGGACCGGTGTGGGTTCTGGTCTGGGAACACCGCTGGATCCATCCAGGAGGGTGTGGTTCTAGACCAGAGACCCCCAGGGAACCAGAACCAGTCACCAGACCCCTGGGCTTCGTCTGCTGCTTTCTGGGATTTCAAAATAAAACAGGAAATGACTAAAGTAGCTGCCTGTGTGCGTCACGGTCGCAGCAGGAAGTGTAGAATGTTGCCGATGCTGTATGAAGACCAGAGGGTGTTTGATGCTGCTGACCTCTGACCTCTGACCTGATCTGGTTCAACAACAGAAACTCACATCTGAGCTTGTTTCCTGTGAAGATAAACTTTACAGCTGGTTGTTTATGGAAAGCTTTACGTCACAAACAAACAAACATTTCTGAGCTGCAGTCTTTGGTGTCAGGTGCAATAATGCTTCCCTCTGTTCCCCAGGGGGTCTGCTTGTAGTTGAGGACCCCTGGTGTAGAGCACCTTCAGCACCACCATGACAGGTGTTACTAGATCTCTACTTCCTGTTGTAGAGGAAGTCAGTCACCCAGGTGTATCACTCTCACAAGACAGGAAGTGAATGGATGACCAGGGCTAACCCCAGCAACCAGGAACCAGACGGTTCTAAAGGCAGAACCTGCAGACCTGATCAGTCTGATGATGACTCATCGCCAGGCTCCGCCCTTTCACCCCTAAACACTAACGCTGGTCTTCTCCCTCAGAAGAGCCGGAGCGGGTCATACTGCCCCTGCTGCCCGGCACCCCCCTCAGTCCCACCAGCCCTCTGGCCCTGAAGCAGAGTCAGATCGGATCGGCCGTCAGTCTGCTGGACTGCTACTGTCAGAAGAACTTCTGGTCTGCACCCGAGTACCACCTGTTCTCCTCACTTGGACAGAACGGCACACTGATGCTCATCTACAAGGTACCGCCCCATCAGCACACACACACACACACACACACCCACACACACACACACACACACACACACACACACACACACACACACACACACACACACACACACACACACACACACACCAGTTCCCTCTGTTTAAACAGCTGGTATTTAGCCACCTCATGCTAACGGGCTAGTTATTAGGGATGTGAGTGCTCGTGTTAGCCGTGGGATTTACATGGAAAAAGGAGCTAATTAGGTTTGACTGAAAGTGCAGATTTTTTCTTCTGGGAAACTGAGTCAGTGACTCAAAGACCTGATTCAGTTTGTTGAGTGACTCATTCAAACTGTATTCAGTAAAAAGAACTGAATTTATCATCACTATTAGTAATGCTAACATTATGCTACAGCTGCTAACTGTTCAGTTACGTTAGCAGACAAGCTAGTGACCATCACTACACTAAAGCCATTATTATCAGAATGTGTCACATCTAAAACGGTCCTGGTGGAAACGTGTCCTGTTCTCCAGCCTTCTGTTAGGTGGGTAGTAAGATTGGGCGATTTGTGTAAATTTTCCAGCCGCCAATCGTCAGCCCATTAAAGACGATGGTCGATACAATTCCACAGGTGACTTTATGAGCAGCGTAATGCACAGACTGATTTGTGAACACAGAAAAAGTCTAAACATGGATTTATTTTTTTTTATAGAAGGGCAGCGCGTGTTTGCTGCAAGAGAGTTTTTTCTTTTTGTTTAATTTAGTATTTGAAGTGTGTTAGTGACATATAAATGACCTATGACTTTTTTTTTACATAGACACTGGGTTTCAGTCTTTTATGAATTCGAGTGGGAAATTAAACTTGTCACTGCTGCATTTGGACGCACTTTGAGGAAGGTGCATTTACTCGCAGCAAGAGGTCACGACTCGTGTGATTCGTTCTCGTGTCACTTTCCTTTTTAAAATAATTCAAAAGCATTCAATAATATCTAGATTGATTGGCCACCGATCAAAATCGGCCGATTTCCGTGAAAGCACTTTTACCCTAACCCTGGCAGGTAGACAGGTATGGAGACAGACATCTGGCATTACCCTGGCAGATAGACAGGTATAGAGACAGCCATCTGGCATTACCCTGGCAGATAGACAGGTATAGAGACAGACATCTGGCATTACGCTGGCAGATAGACAGGTATAGAGACAGCCATCTGGCATTACCCTGGCAGATAGACAGGTATAGAGACAGACATCTGGCATTACCCTGGCAGATAGACAGGTATAGAGACAGACATTTGGCATTACCCTGGCAGATAGGCAGGTATAGAGACAGACATCTCGCATTACCCTGGCAGATAGACAGGTATAGAGACAGACATCTGGCATGACCCTGGCAGATAGACAGGTATAGAGACAGACATCTGGCATTACCCTGGCAGATAGACAGGTATAGAGACAGACATCTGGCATTACCCTGGCAGATAGACAGGTATAGAGACAGACATCTGGCATTACCCTGGCAGATAGACAGGAATGAAGACAGACATCTGGCATTACCCTGGCAGATAGACAGGTATAGAGACAGACATCTGGCATTACCCTGGCAGATAGACAGGTATAGAGACAGACATCTAGCATTACCCTGGCAGATAGACAGGTATAGAGACAGACATCTGGCATTACCCTGGCAGATAGACAGGTATAGAGACAGACATCTGGCATTACCCTGGCAGATAGACAGGTATAGAGACAGACATCTGGCATTACCCTGGCAGATAGACAGGTATAGAGACAGACATCTGGCATTACCCTGGCAGATAGACAGGTATAGAGACAGACATCTGGCATTACCCTGGCAGATAGACAGGTATAGAGACAGACATCTGGCATTACCCTGGCAGATAGACAGGTATAGAGACAGACATCTAGCATTACCCTGGCAGATAGACAGGTATAGAGACAGACATCCACTATTACCCTGGCAGATAGACAGGTATAGAGACAGACATCTACCATTACCCTGGCAGATAGACAGGTATAGAGACAGACATCTACTATTACCCTGGCAGATAGACAGGTATAGAGACAGACATCTACTATTACCCTGGCAGATAGACAGGTATAGAGACAGACATCTACTATTACCCTGGCAGATTGACAGGTATAGTGACAGACATCTACCATTACCCTGGCAGATAGACAGGTATAGAGACAGACATCTATTATTACCCTGGCAGATAGACAGGTATAGAGACAGACATCTACCATTACCCTGGTAGATAGACAGGTATAGAGACAGACATCTACCATTACCCTGGTAGATAGACAGGTATAGAGACAGACATCTACCATTACCCTGGCAGGTAGACAGGTATAGAGACAGACATCTACTATTACCCTGGCAGGTAGACAGGTATAGAGACAGACATCTACCATTACCCTGGCAGGTAGACAGGTATAGAGACAGACATCTGGCATTACCCTGGCAGATAGACAGGTATAGAGACAGACATTTACCTTTACCCTGGCAGGTAGACAGGTATAGAGACAGACATCTACCTTTACCCTGGCAGGTAGACAGGTATAGAGACAGATATCTACCATTACCCTGGCAGATAGATAGGTATAGAGACAGACATCTACCATTACCCTGGCAGATAGACAGGTATAGAGACAGACATCTACCATTACCCTGGCAGATAGACAGGTATAGAGACAGACATCTAGCATTACCCTGGCAGATAGACAGGTATAGAGACAGACATCTAGCATTACCCTGGCACATAGACAGGTATAGAGACAGACATCTACCATTACCCTGGCAGATAGACAGGTATAGAGACAGACATCTACTATTACCCTGGCAGATAGACAGGTATAGAGACAGACATCTACTATTACCCTGGCAGATAGACAGGTATAGAGACAGACATCTACCATTACCCTGGCAGGTAGACAGGTATAGAGACAGACATCTGGCATTACCCTGGCAGATAGACAGGTATAGAGACAGACATTTACCTTTACCCTGGCAGGTAGACAGGTATAGAGACAGACATCTACCTTTACCCTGGCAGGTAGACAGGTATAGAGACAGATATCTACCATTACCCTGGCAGATAGACAGGTATAGAGACAGACATCTACCATTACCCTGGCAGATAGACAGGTATAGAGACAGACATCTACCATTACCCTGGCAGATAGACAGGTATAGAGACAGACATCTAGCATTACCCTGGCAGATAGACAGGTATAGAGACAGACATCTAGCATTACCCTGGCAGATAGACAGGTATAGAGACAGACATCTACCATTACCCTGGCAGATAGACAGGTATAGAGACAGACATCTACTATTACCCTGGCAGATAGACAGGTATAGAGACAGACATCTACTATTACCCTGGCAGATAGACAGGTATAGAGACAGACATCTACTATTACCCTGGCAGATAGACAGGTATAGGGACAGACATCTACCATTACCCTGGCAGATAGACAGGTATAGAGACAGACATCTACTATTACCCTGGCAGATAGACAGGTATAGAGACAGACATCTGTTTTTACCCTGGCAGATAGACAGGTATAAAGACAGACATCTATTATTACCCTGGCAGATAGACAGGTATAGAGACAGACATCTATTATTACCCTGGCAGATAGACAGGTATAGAGACAGACATCTATTATTACCCTGGCAGATAGACAGGTATAGAGACAGACATCCACTATTACCCTGGCAGATAGACAGGTATAGAGATAGACATCCACTATTACCCTGGCAGATAGACAGGTATAGAGACAGACATCTACTATTACCCTTGCAGATAGACAGGTATTGGGACAGACATCTACTATTACCCTGGCAGATAGACAGGTATAGAGACAGACATCTACCATTACCCTGGCAGATAGACAGGTATAGAGACAGACATCTACTATTACCCTGGCAGATAGACAGGTATAGAGACAGACATCTACCATTACCCTTGCAGATAGACAGGTATAGAGACAGACATCTACTATTACCCTGGCAGATAGACAGGTATAGAGACAGACATCTACCATTACCCTGGCAGATAGACAGGTATAGAGACAGACATCCACTATTACCCTGGCAGATAGACAGGTATAGAGACAGACATCTACTATTACCCTTGCAGATAGACAGGTATTGGGACAGACATCTACTATTACCCTGGCAGATAGACAGGTATAGAGACAGACATCTACCATTACCCTGGCAGATAGACAGGTATAGAGACAGACATCTACTATTACCCTGGCAGATAGACAGGTATAGAGACAGACATCTACCATTACCCTGGCAGATAGACAGAAACACTCCAGACTGACCATCATTGACCCTCTCTCTCTCCTCAGGTTGCTTCACTCGTCCCGGTGGAGCTTCACAACATTTCATTAAAAATAAACAAAACGGTTTTTTGACCCCTCTGTGTGTGTGTGTGTGTGTGTGTGTGTGTGTGTGTGTGTGTCTGTGTGTGTGTGGGTGTGTGTGTGTGTGTGTGTGTGTGTGTGTGTGTGTGTGTGTGTGTGTGTGTGTGTGTGTGTGTGTGTGTGTGTGTCTGTGTGTGTGTGTGTGTGTGTGTGTGTGTGTGTGTGTGTGTGTGTGTGTGTGTGTGTGTGTGTGTGTGTGTGTGTGTGTGTGTGTGCAGGTGGTGCTGCCATCCACACAGAGCACCTACATGCCTGACAAGCTGTGTGTGCTGCTGGAGGACGCCAAGGAGCTCGCTGCTCAGACCACTCTGTGGAACCTCGGTACTCACACACACACACACACACCATGAGTCAGCGCTGTAAATCCTATTAACATGCAGTAAAGCGCTGACACAGAGACCTCCAGAGTTACTGATGAAGGTTCAGGGACACAAAGTTTCAGCAAAAACCAATAAAGCATCTTTTATTGATAGATCAAAATCAGATCGATCAGGTTTAGATTTTATTTGGGTCCAGTTATCAGAAAACACACACACACACACACACTAGGGCTGGGGGTAAACGATTATTTTAAAACGATTATTCTGACGATTATTTTATCGAATAGTCGACTATTCTAATGACTATTTAGACAATTAATCTAACGATTATTTTTCTATTGCACAGTTAAAACCAAAAATCTCTAATAAAATCCTCAAAAATAACTGATAAATTGTTACTGTAAGATAATAAACATACAGGCCTTCCATTTTGTATAACACTGCTTTTATTGTGTTGTGGTTGGTTATGTTGTGGTGACGTGTAGAACTTGGGAGTGCAGGCTGCTGCCTGAGAGCTGGTTGGAGACGGAGTGTCTCCATGCTGCTTTGTTTTGGTCACTTATGTGTGTGAGGCGAGTGGTGTTACGACTCTTCCTGGGGAGTTTGGCTCGTGTGCAAAAAGGAAGGGACAATAACGGGATTTAAAAGTTAAAATGATGATCAGGATTATTTACAACTATAAAAAAACATAAACCTTTCCATCCACAGGTTGGGAATAATAAAACTAATTCTGCCTGTGGGGAATTAAAACAAAAGTACAAATAAGTAGGGATGTCCCACTGGGCAAAGATTACAGGGTTCTGGACCAAAATAAGAATCTCCAAAGGTCCAACTCTAAACTGGGCGGTTAAACCAAACTCAAGGTGATATTTTAAACGAAACCGAAGACCCACAACACTCTAAATGTAATAAAAGGGAGATCTACACCACAAAAAAGATGAACTCTAAACCAAAACGTAACAGCTTATCCAAACGCAAGAAGCTGTTAGCGAAGATGCTAACAGTAGCTTTACCAACGTTAAGTTCAAGTTACCAAGTTTAAATAAACCAAAAATACCCAGCAGCAAACAGACCAGCAGGGAGAGACTGCTACCACCAAAACAGCTCTCCTCATGTCTGAAAGAAGCTCCTTAATGAAGGGAGAAACGCTCCCGGTGATGTTCTACATCTGCGATAGAGACGAAGCAGCGCATCTGACCCCGGAAGTTGTTGTCCGTTGCTGGGAGACGAAGGCGGGCAAAACAGTATTTGGTGGAGATGTTAGTGAAGGTGGAGAAGAGGGTGAACTAGAGGAAAAACAGGCAGATTCCTCCTCTATTTACAAACTCCTGGGGATGCAACAAGTGGGCGCGGTGCGTCGACTACCGGATCTGACGTCGACAAATTTTTAGAATCGAGCCGTCGACGTCATCGAGGCTTCGCTACAGCCCTAACACACACACACACACACACACACACACACACACACACACACACACACACACACACACACACACACACGTCCCACTGGACCAACAAGCCTAGACTAGAGCCCTGCACTGAAGCCGTAGGCCCGCGGGCCGGGCTTCGGGCGAACGACTGTGTAATTACCTCGGACACGGGCCGGGCGCCTTTATTTTTAATCAAATTCATTGAAAAAACTGAAACACTTGAACGCAGCAGCACCTGCCTGCTTCTCACGCACCGGCACCCGTTAGCGCAGTTAAGGTGTGTGTGGTTTATAAATGCGCCGATATGAACCAATTCTCTAACTGCTGATTGAAACGTGTGACCCTGTTCGCTATTTTATGTCCACTTTGATGTCAGAAACCATTTGTTTATTCTCATGAAAATGGCAGCATTCTATTTTTATGTGAATAAATTCGCTCTGCAGTTAAATAAATACAGCATTCATTGCTGGTTTCTTTTCTGACTGGAGAGCACATTTTCAGGGCGGCAGATTAAATTTACAAACGCTTTATTAATTGGGGGTGTTTATTTAATCTGCCGCTCTGAAAATGCGCTCTGCAGTTAGAACATTAGAACGCTGCTTTTTTCTGCATTCTCAGAGCAGATTAAATTTACAAACGCATCCAATTAATATGGTGTTCTTAAATTTCATCTGCCGCTCGAAAAATACGCTCTGTTAGAAAAAGAGCTGCATTGATGCTGTTTCTCTTTTTTACTGCAGAACGCTTCTCACAGATAATTAGAACGCTGAGCATTCTATCACGCTAAAACATTATGAAAGGTTAAAAAAAAGTCGGGCTCGGGTCGGGCCAGAGAATCCTGAAAACCTTCTCGGACCGGGTCGGGCTGGGGCTCCACCCCCTCGGGCCGGGCCGGACACGGGCTCAGATTTCAGGCCCGTGCAGGGCTCTAGCCTAGACTCAGAACACCAATCTCCTCAGTGAGACAGTAACTAGGATCTGTTGTAGTACATGAAGTACTATAATACTTTCTTAGATAGGGAGGCTAGACCAGCTCAGTGCCCTCGTGCCCACTCGGAGACTAGGAGGTTGTGGGTTCAAATCCACGGTCGGGTCATGCCAAAGACTTAAAAATGGGACCCAAAGCCTCTCTGCCTGACACTCAGCATTAAGGGCTTTGATCCGGGGGTAAACTAGTTTCCTCCCACCACTGCAGCTCACCACTCCCTATGGGGAGGGCTCAAAGATGGAGATGTCCTTTCACCACTTACCAGTGTGTGTGACGACTAATGGGGCTTTTCTGGATCACACTCTGTGACTTTTGGCCGTCGCTTGTCCAAAATGCTGCAGCTAGAGTTCTGATGAGAATTAAAAAGAGAGATCATATCTCTCCTGTCTTAGCTTCCCTACATTGGCTACCTGTTAAATTCAGAATAGATTTTAAGATCCTCCTTCTCACATACAAAGCTCTTAATAATCAAGCTCCATCATACATCAGTGATCTGATTGTTCCATACGTTCCTAACCGAGCACTTCGCTCTCAGACTGCAGGTCTACTGGTGGTTCCCAGAACATCTAAAACAGGATGGGAGGCAGATCTTTTAGTTATCAGCGATGAGGAGAAAAGTCGACTCTTCCATAAAATAACCGTTGACCCCAGCTCTGCTGGTCTATTATCTGATTTATGGTTCATTTTCGGATTCCCATTTCTGCTGATGATCCTGATTAGTTCCTACTTCCTGTTTCCTCTAGAACTTTCCATCCTCCCAGGAGCTTCCTGTGACTCCCCCAGCAGCCCCTCCTCCCCTCTCTCCCGCTCAGAAGGGAATCTGAGCTGTGATAGCTGGGCCTTCTCCTCCTGCCTCTCCCCTCCTCCTCCCCCATCCTCCTTCACAATGCCCCCTCTGCCCTCCTTGTCCACGTTCCTCCCCACTGCGTCCCAGCCTCAGCAGCTCTACATCCGCTCCCAGTCCCCGTTCTACTGACGGAGACTCACCTGCAACAGGTGAGGAAACCAGATCTGATGTTACCGTTCTGCTCCGGTGGAACGTTTGAGTCCACAACCTGCAGCTCTAGCACGAGGAGGTCTTCTGTACATAAACAGCACCAAACCGGTTTCATCTGGTTTTAATCCATTTAAACAATATTAACCTGTTTGGATGTGCTATTAACTTGTTTCTTACCCATTTGCTTCCTTACAAAATGTTTATGGGCAGATAAGTAAATAAAATACTGTTTATTTCAAAATAATAATAATAAATCTTTAAAATATTTGTCATTTTGAATCACATTCCTGGTTTTTAAAGCAACAGCACATTTCAAGCAGGCAGAAAAAAACGATATGAAATAACTTAGTAAACATTAGTCGCTAGCGTATTTAAATAAAATGTGTCAACAATGTCAATATTTCATTATTTCATCATATTTCATTATTTCATCATATTTCATCATATTTCATTATTTCATCATATTTCGTCATATTTCATCATATTTCATTATTTCATCATATTTCATTATTTCATCATATTTCATTATTTCATCATATTTCATCATATTTCATTATTTCATCATATTTCATTATTTCATCATATTTCATCATATTTCATTATTTCATCATATTTCATCATATTTCATCACATTTCATTATTTCATCATATTTCATCATATTTCATTATTTCATCATATTTCATCATATTTCATTATTTCATCATATTTAATCATATTTCATTATTTCATCATATTTCATCATATTTCATTATTTCATCATATTTAATCATGTTTAATCATATTTCATTATTTCATCATATTTCATTATTTCATCATATTTCATCCTGTTTAATCATATTTCATTATTTCATCATATTTCATCATATTTCATTATTTCATCATATTTCATTATTTCATCATATTTCATCATATTTCATCATATTTCATTATTTCATCATATTTCATTATTTCATCATATTTCATCATATTTCATTATTTCATCATATTTCATCATATTTCGTTATTTCATCATATTTCATCATATTTCATTATTTCATCATATTTCATTATTTCATCATATTTCATCATATTTCATTATTTCATCATATTTCATCATGTTTAATCATATTTCATTATTTCATCATATTTCATCATATTTCATTATTTCATCATATTTCATCATATTTCATCCTGTTTAATCATATTTCATTATTTCATCATATTTCATTATTTCATCATATTTCATCATATTTCATTATTTCATATTTCATTATTTCATCATATTTCATATTTCATTATTTCATCATATTTCATTATTTCATCATATTTCATTATTTCGTCATATTTCATTATTTCATCATATTTCAATATTTCATCATATCTCATTATTTCATCATATTTCATCATATTTCATTATTTCATCATATTTCATCATATTTCATTATTTCATCATATTTCATCATTATTTCATCATATTTCATTATTTCATAATATTTCATCATATTTCATTATTTCATCATATTTCATTATTTCATAATATTTCATCATATTTCATCATATTTCATTATTTCATCATATTTCATTATTTCATCATATTTCATCATATTTCATTATTTCAACATATTTCATCATATTTCATTATTTCATCATATTTAATCATATTTCATTATTTCATCATATTTCACCATATTTCATCATATTTCATTATTTCATCATATTTCATTATTTCATCATATTTCATCATATTTCATTATTTCATCATATTTCATTATTTCGTCATATTTCATCATATTTCATTATTTCGTCTTATTTCATCATATTTCATCATATTTCATTATTTCATCATATTTCATCGTATTTAATTATTTCATCATATTTCATTATTTCGTCATATTTCATCATATTTCATCATATTTCATTATTTCATCATATTTCATTATTTCGTCATATTTCATCATATTTCATCATATTTCATTATTTCTTCATATTTCATTATTTTGTCATATTTCATATTTCATCATATTTCATTATTTCTTCATATTTCATTATTTCGTCATATTTCATCATATTTCATTATTTCGTCATATTTCATCATATTTCATTATTTCATCATATTTCATTATTTCTTCATATTTCATTATTTCGTCATATTTCATCATATTTCATTATTTCGTCATATTTCATCATATTTCATCATATTTCATTATTTCATCATATTTCATTATTTCGTCATATTTCGTCATATTTCATCATATTTCATTATTTCATCATATTTCATTATTTAATCATATTTCATCATATTTCATTATTTCATCATATTTCATTATTTCGTCATATTTCATCATATTTCATTATTTCTTCATATTTCATTATTTCGTTATATTTCATCATATTTCATCATATTTCATTATTTCTTCATATTTCATTATTTCGTCATATTTCATCATATTTCATCATATTTCATTATTTCTTCATATTTCATTATTTCGTCATATTTCATCATATTTCATCATATTTCATTATTTCGTCATATTTCATCATATTTCATCATATTTCATTATTTCTTCATATTTCATTATTTCGTCATATTTCATCATATTTCATTATTTCTTCATATTTCATTATTTCGTCATATTTCATCATATTTCATTATTTCTTCATATTTCATTATTTCATCATATTTCATTATTTTGTCATATTTCATCATATTTCATCATATTTCATTATTTCTTCGTATTTCATTATTTCGTCATATTTCATCATATTTCATTATTTCGTCATATTTCATCATATTTCATCATATTTCATTATTTCTTCATATTTCATTATTTCGTCATATTTCATTATTTCATCATATTTCATTATTTCGTCATATTTCATCATATTTCATTATTTCATCATATTTCATTATTTCGTCATATTTCATCATATTTCATTATTTCTTCATATTTCATTATTTCATCATATTTCATTATTTCGTCATATTTCATCATATTTCATTATTTCATCATATTTCATTATTTCGTCATATTTCGTCATATTTCATCATATTTCATTATTTCATCATATTTTATTATTTCATCATATTTCATCATATTTCATCATATTTCATTATTTCATCATATTTCATTATTTCGTCATATTTCATCATATTTCATTATTTCATCATATTTCATCATATTTCATTATTTCATCATATTTCATCATATTTCTAGTCAAACCTAAAGTGTTTCTGAAGAAATACGGATTAGAAAGGTGTTCACATTCTGTATTAATGTATTAAAGATAGGCTCATCGCTCATGATTCTCATAATTAAGTGTGAAATTTGAGGTTGTGACGACTGAGCCGACTTCACATGTGCTATCCACAAGTCTCCACCGAGTCGCCACTGCTTCTTGTCACACCGACAGACGGTAACAGCAAGCTAGTTCCAGAAACGTGCTCAATAGTCACCAATATATGCAAGTTCAGCTTCAAACTGAGAAAGCTACTTTTCTGAAGTTAAAAGCGTTAACTCAGTCTCGCCTGGGCAGGTTTAGTAAAGAATGCTCGTCTCTCTGACCCAGAAGTCACTCGGAGCCTTCTGGAAGAGTTCCAACCAGCTCTCACTGGCCACTTTATTATGTACACCCTTTCAACTTCTCACGTACGCCAGTGACTAATCAGCCAATCACACGGTGGCACCTCAGTGCATTTATGCATGTTGACCTGGTCAAGACAGTCCGCTGCAGGTCAAACCGAGCGACAGAATTGGGAAAAAGGTGATTGAAGTGACTTGGACCGTGGCGTGGTTGTGGCTGCCCGACAGGAGGGTGCTGCAAACACACAAATCCTCTGCAGAGGTGGAAATGAAACGAAGCAAGGCTTCCTTCTGCAGCTCTGCTTGCACGTGTCCCTGCCGTGAGTGTCTCCTCTCCTCAGCTGGAAACGTTGTCTCACAGAAAAGAGCCAGCCTGAGTCCAGAACATGTGGACATGTCCACGTTTTTGCTGTACAACACTGAAGTTTACCCCACTGAACAGAAGACAAACACTCCTCTTGATCTTTAGAAGCATGTGGGTCACTCCCAGCTTACCGTGCAGTGTTCCTCTACAGAGAGCCTTGTTTTCTGTAGGTCTTAGTTTTAGTCTCAGTCTTCTGGACAAAATGCATTCTAGTTTCAGTCGACTAAATCTTCAAAAAGAGATATTTTTTTACCAAGAGTTTGGTTTTTAGTTCGACATAAAATGTAGTATTAGTCCATCCATCCATCCATTGTCTGAACCCGCTTGTCCGTGCAGGGTCGCGGGGGGCCGGTGCCTATCTCCAGCGGTCAATGGGCAATCAGGCGGGTACACCTTGGACAGAGTGCCAGTCCATCGCAGTAGTCTTTTACAAATAAATGTGTATGTAACATGTGAACTTTGTGCTACAAGAGTGAGTTATTTTAGGGCTAAAGGGCATGGGACATCCAGCCAGCAGCCCCACTAACATGTTCCCTCCATTCAACCAGCCAATAGTACAGTACAGAAATAATCAATCAATACGTTATTAATCCCAGAGGGAAATTAGAGTTTCAGTACACACAATTCAGAGATCAGACATACATGGGCAAGACACATGACAAGAATTGGTGACTGTGGTCATTCGCAACCCGAGTCGCGCCACCTTAATAGAGATAAAAGGGTTCCGTGAGGATTGGTTCAGGTGGAGGGAAAAAAAGGCACTTCAGAGTTACCCTCCACAGGGAGGGCAGATTTGCTCTGCAAAAAAACATCTCAACTATATACAGTATGCAACAAACTTCAGACATCACAACATAACATGAGGCTCCAATAGGAAGGCGGGGGGGCTCCTCTTTCCCCCAGCGAGAGCAGCCATCTACGGCACTCATCTACTGTACAGTCACAGGTGGGAGGGGGATCTTGGGAGAAGCAAAGAACACATTGACTCCTGCAGGTTGATGACCTCGCCAGGCTGAAGTCCAGCTTACGATTCACCTCGAGTAACGTCCCAGTCTGAGAAGTCTCCATATGGACGGTGCTTTCCGTGGGTGCGGGTCGCTTCAATCACTCCCGTCTTCCCAAATTTCCAGAAAACCAGATATCAGGGTATCCGCGGGTCCTTAAAAAGTCTTAAATTTACTTTTCCAAATTTAAGGCCTTAAAAATCCTTAAAAATGACAAATAATCCTTAAATACAGTTTCCAAAGGTCTTAAATTACCAAAGACCCAATAAACAAGATTCTTTTATTTCTATAAAATTTTCATGAATTTCTAGTTAGTCTTCAGCATTTTTTGTGTGTGATGTTGCCGTAAGCGGAACCGTACACATTCAGCTGGTTGTGAAAGGGGGCTATTTTTAGATGAGCACATTAGCTGGTTAAGCTAGTGGGAGCTTGCGCCATGGGGAAGTGCAAGTTTAATGGTAACTGGATGGCTAATCCCACGTTCGCGACGTGGTTAGCACCGGTTCCAGGCAATAGCTGGAAAATAAAGCTTAAATTTAATTATAAAAATAGCTTAAATTTTGTCTAAGTGGCCTTAAAAAAGGTCTTAAAAAGTCTTAAATTTGGCTCCCATAAACCTGCAGATACCCTGAGATATCCTCCCACTCTAATCAGGAGAAATCCAGTGATCATCAGACCAGATATCCGAATATATAAAGTCACTTACTGATAACAAGAAGCAGAAGCTGCTGGGATGGTCTGCAGTCAATCACCACAGGTTGGCCTCTGTGTCCAAATAATCCCAAGATTAACATCCAAACATGAACACAGACTAAACTAAAGCTCAGAGAGTAGAAATGGCCGAACATCTATTAACGCGAGGCTGAGGCTTTTCCAGGAGCTAGCTCTGAGGTCACATGGCTCTGATGCTCATTAATTATTCAGAGTTTTAGACATTAAATTACACTTAAACAGGAGAGTTACAAACACATTCACCAATTAGTGTTGCCATGCCAACTAGATCTATGAAACCTAAAGTGGTTTCTGAACCAGGCTGTAAACACGCGTATTTCTGCTGTGAATCGGCTTTTTTAACATGGGAGTCAATGAGGACCTGCTCACTTCTGGTGCCAGCCCCTAGTGGATGAGGGTGGAACTGCAATGTTAGCCACTCCCTATTGGCTTCAAAAATCAAGACCATAACGGCCCCCTTGGTCTGAACTTTGAAGCCAACACGGACGTTTGGATTACCACAACCCGGATGACCGAGAACCTTCACCAGATAAGTTTTGCTAGCATAAGCGTGCACTTCCTGAAGCGGCTGTGCTGCGCTGCACATTCCCACCACAGAGAGGCGCTCTTGCAGAATGAGCGCTGTGGCTGATTGCTGGGACTCCTCCTGGTCTAGTCACCAAAGAGCTACTTTTAGCTGGTCAGCGTCTCGTTTTGTTATGAGAGAAACAGGGAGTCGACCAAACCATTAGGTCCTCGTTATCGATGAACAACACAGCTTAAACACGCTTATGGACTTCTCCTGTTGGACGAGTTTGAAGGGAACTCCTCGAGGAGACGTGTGCGTGGTTTAGCACAGGTTTGTTTACCTGCTCAGGCTCACTTTTGTTGTTTAAAGGTAAACAGGTGCATGCTTCTTTCACAGGATTAGCTCTTTATTTCCAGATGTCGTTTTTATCTGCAAGGCTGTGCGTCCGTCTGTCAGTGCTTGTGACAGGAGTGGTGAAGTTTGCTGAAGTCCACAGAGGCAGGGGCTTAGACCAACACCAGTAGTGTGTGGCGGCTCTACAGCTAGTGTTTACCGGGGTCTGAGCAGAAGCAACAGCTGATCTGGAGCTCCTGCTGCGGTGCAGCTGGTCGCCCTGATCTCCCGGCGCCGTCTGAAGTTTCTGAGCAGCTGCTGCTGCTGGGAGACCAGCTGTTCAGCACGGCGCAGCGTTTAGCTGCTAAACACACATCAGCTCCCCGAAGAGCTGCAGGAGAGCCGTTAATGGACCGGTCTGAGCACAGAACCACATCTGTGAAGATAATAGCATTATTAGTAATAACGGTGGTGCCTGTGTACATCTTGTTGCAGGAGGTCTCCACCCCCTGGCGGAGGAGCAAGAGGAGTGCAGACGTGTTTGTGGCTTCGTCTGTTTGCGTTCTGAAATCTTATCTGTGTTTGAGACGAAGGATGAAGGAAGTTTCCACTGAGCTGCTCTGATGAGCTCCTCCTCCTCCCGCTGCTCCTGTTATCATCGACACACACACACATCAGCTTCTCCTCTCAGGTGAGATCCCAGCAGGAGCCTCCTGAAACCACACAACAAACCCGTTATCGTGATGACAGAGGAGGAGGAGGAGACGAGGAGCCTCCTCATCCTCTCCCTGATCTCCTGCTTTCATCTTCACCTGACTCATCTGAAGGCCAACCGACTCCTCCACTCCTCACAGCAATCTGCAGGTGCAGGAACACCTCCTGCTGCTCCTCCTCAGGAGGAGTTCTGAAGGTGAATCACCTGTTTAGAGGAGGAAGGTGGCATATCCGGAGTAACCTAATCCCTGTGATGGCAGACTTCATCACCTCCTCAGCAGGAAACGCCGGATCTGTTATTAAAGTTTTTACTAAATCGGATTATTAGAAGCCAGCAATAATAACAACTAATAATAAATCAGTATTAATAATGATAATAAAGAACATCAATAAAACTAAATGTCAGTTATTTTAATAAACATTAATAACATAAATCATCACCTGTCTGATTTTAAACTTTCATGAAATTTTACAGAGAAGAGATAAAATGAGGAACCTCCCAGGTCTACGGAAAGCCAATATAATCAGAAACAGTCAGATAAATCCATCTAACAGGTAATTGGCTGTGAACTAAACTGTTGTACAAATCTAGTTTTAAACAAGTGGCTTTTGTATGAAAAGTTTATTCTTATTCATGGAACACTTTAATTACTGAAAACAAACATTTTAAAAACCTTGATGTCCAAAATTCATTTAAAAAGTTTCATTTATCAAATGAAAATCCAAATCTCTGCTTTGTTGTCTTTCACTTTTGAAGTTAAATGTTATATTTGGATTTTTTTCTTTACTGTATTATTCTGGAGTAAATCTTGTTTTTGTTTTGTTTTTTGCAGCCATGTTTATTATTTAGGTAAAACTGTTTATAGATTATTGTCCTCAATGGCTTTCCTGTTTATAGATTATTGTCCTCAATGGCTTTCCGTACAGGGCTGGTAGAGAGCTTTCAGGGTTTTATTCTAATTAAAGTTTTATAAAACATTGTTAAGTGAGATGGTGCTGAGGGGCGGAGGTATGTCATCAGAGGAGGAGGGGCTAGAGGAGGGGGAGGAGCTAGAGGAGGGGAGGAGCTAGAGGAGCAAACACAAACATTTTAATTGTCTCTCATTCTCAGATGTTTGGAGCTCAGAAGGTTTAGAGTTGAATCGATTATTTCAGGAGCTTTGATGCTTTTGTTAGTTGAGTCTGAGCAGCTGGTTGATGTTTCTGTTCACACAAACTAATTTGTTTGTTTGTTTGTTTGTTTGTGTAAAAAGTTCCTCAGCAGCTGTTGTTTGACCAGAACTATTTTAGATGAACTGACCAATGAGAGCAGGAAGCACTGGTACTGGTTAGCCACGTTTAACTACAGCCTGTTGTTGGTTTCATCATTAGAATGTTTGAGCCGTGAATCAGGAAGTGGAAGTTGGATTATTTATTATCACACCCGCATTAAAGGACATTAAATATCCTGCTGAAGATGTTTGTACGCCTGATGTCAGATGTTGGGTTTAATCTCAGCCGACTGAGGAAATAAATCTGAGTTATTCACTAACTGTTTGAGTCTGGCTCTGTTTGGACCTCCTACTAACACTGGCTGTTAGGACCAGCCTAATCTGAGTTTATATGCTCAGATACATCTAGGGATGGGTACCTTTGACGTTTGAATCGACATGGTACCAATTCCCGGTACCTACGAATCGGTACCGGTACTTAACGGTACCAATTTTTGATACTTTTGAGTGTTTAATAATTGTTTAAATCACTTTTCTAATTAACTATATATTATTTTCCCGTTATAACTATATTTGATTAATATCATGCTAATAAGACACAACAGATTGTATTTTATATTGTGGTGTTGTACACAACTCTTCAACATGAAAACCTTTAACAACCGTTTCCAAATGAAGCAAAAACAAACCCAGCTCCATGGACTCCTAATCCTCTCCTAATCCCTCTGGAATAACTGATGAGGAGACCATGTGTTATAAACTACAAATGGAACTAAAGCAACCGTTCGTGTTTTAATATTGTGGTGTTTCACTAACGAAACCAGCTCCGTGCGCTCCTGTTCTTCTCCTTTCCCCTCTGGACAAACCGTCATGGTGGTCCTTGTAGTATTATAAACGGTGTCATGGTGGTCCTTGTAGTTTTATAAACAGTGTCATGGTGGTCCTTGTAGTTTTATAAACGGTGTCATGGTGGTCCTTGTAGTTTTATAAACGGTGTCATGGTGGTCCTTGTAGTTTTATAAAAAGTGTCATGGTGGTCCTTGTAGTTTTATAAACGGTGTCATGGTGGTCCTTGTAGTTTTATAAACGGTGTCATGGTGGTCCTTGTAGTTTTATAAACAGTGTCGTGGTCCTTGTAGTTTTATAAACAGTGTCATGGTGGTCCTTGTAGTTTTATAAACGGTGTCATGGTGGTCCTTGTAGTTTTATAAACGGTGTCATGGTGGTCCTTGTAGTTTTATAAACGGTGTCATGGTGGTCCTTGTAGTTTTATAAACGGTGTCATGGTGGTCCTTGTAGTTTTATAAACGGTGTCATGGTGGTCCTTGTAGTTTTATAAACGGTGTCATGGTGGTCCTTGTAGTTTTATAAATGGTGTCATGGTGGTCCTTGTAGTTTTATAAACGGTGCCATGTGGTCCTTGTAGTTTTATAAACAGTGTCATGGTGGTCCTTGTAGTTTTATAAACAGTGTCATGGTGGTCCTTGTAGTTTTATAAACAGTGTCATGGTGGTCCTTGTAGTTTTATAAACGGTGTCATGGTGGTCCTTGTAGTTTTATAAACGGTGTCATGGTGGTCCTTGTAGTTTTATAAACGGTGTCATGGTGGTCCTTGTAGTTTTATAAACGGTGTCATGGTGGTCCTTGTAGTTTTATAAACGGTGTCATGGTGGTCCTTGTAGTTTTATAAACAGTGTCATGGTGGTCCTTGTAGTTTTATAAACGGTGTCATGGTGGTCCTTGTAGTTTTATAAACGGTGTCATGGTGGTCCTTGTAGTTTTATAAACGGTGTCATGGTGGTCCTTGTAGTTTTATAAACGGTGTCATGGTGGTCCTTGTAGTTTTATAAACGGTGTCATGGTGGTCCTTGTAGTTTTATAAACAGTGTCATGGTGGTCCTTGTAGTTTTATAAACAGTGTCATGGTGGTCCTTGTAGTTTTATAAACAGTGTCATGGTGGTCCTTGTAGTTTTATAAACAGTGTCATGGTGGTCCTTGTAGTTTTATAAACAGTGTCATGGTGGTCCTTGTAGTTTTATAAACGGTGTCATGGTGGTCCTTGTAGTTTTATAAACGGTGTCATGGTGGTCCTTGTAGTTTTATAAACGGTGTCATGGTGGTCCTTGTAGTTTTATAACCGGTGTCATGGTGGTCCTTGTAGTTTTATAAACAGTGTCATGGTGGTCCTTGTAGTTTTATAACCAGTGTCATGGTGGTCCTTGTAGTTTTATAAATGGTGTCATGGTGGTCCTTGTAGTTTTATAAACGGTGTCATGGTGGTCCTTGTAGTTTTATAAACGGTGTCATGGTGGTCCTTGTAGTTTTATAAACAGTGTCATGGTGATCCTTGTAGTTTTATAAACAGTGTCATGGTGGTCCTTGTAGTTTTATAAACTGTGTCATGGTGGTCCTTGTAGTTTTATAAACGGTGTCATGGTGGTCCTTGTAGTTTTATAAACGGTGTCATGGTGGTCCTTGTAGTTTTATAAAAAGTGTCATGGTGGTCCTTGTAGTTTTATAAACGGTGTCATGGTGGTCCTTGTAGTTTTATAAACGGTGTCATGGTGGTCCTTGTAGTTTTATAAACGGTGTCATGGTGGTCCTTGTAGTTTTATAAACGGTGTCATGGTGGTCCTTGTAGTTTTATAAACGGTGTCATGGTGGTCCTTGTAGTTTTATAAACGGTGTCATGGTGGTCCTTGTAGTTTTATAAACGGTGTCATGGTGGTCCTTGTAGTTTTATAAACGGTGTCATGGTGGTCCTTGTAGTTTTATAAACGGTGTCATGGTGGTCCTTGTAGTTTTATAAACGGTGCCATGGTGGTCCTTGTAGTTTTATAAACGGTGTCATGGTGGTCCTTGTAGTTTTATAAACGGTGCCATGGTGGTCCTTGTAGTTTTATAAACGGTGTCATGGTGGTCCTTGTAGTTTTATAAACGGTGTCATGGTGGTCCTTGTAGTTTTATAACCGGTGTCATGGTGGTCCTTGTAGTTTTATAACCGGTGTCATGGTGGTCCTTGTAGTTTTATAAACGGTGTCATGGTGGTCCTTGTAGTTTTATAAACGGTGTCATGGTGGTCCTTGTAGTTTTATAAACGGTGTCATGGTGGTCCTTGTAGTTTTATAAGCGGTGTCATGGTGGTCCTTGTAGTTTTATAAACGGTGTCATGGTGGTCCTTGTAGTTTTATAAACGGTGTCATGGTGGTCCTTGTAGTTTTATAAACGGTGTCATGGTGGTCCTTGTAGTTTTATAAACGGTGTCATGGTGGTCCTTGTAGTTTTATAAACGGTGTCATGGTGGTCCTTGTAGTTTTATAAACGGTGTCATGGTGGTCCTTGTAGTTTTATAAACGGTGTCATGGTGGTCCTTGTAGTTTTATAAACGGTGTCACGGTGGTCCTTGTAGTTTTATAAACGGTGTCATGGTGGTCCTTGTAGTTTTATAAACGGTGTCACGGTGGTCCTTGTAGTTTTATAAACGGTGTCACGGTGGTCCTTGTAGTTTTATAAACGGTGTCACGGTGGTCCTTGTAGTTTTATAAACGGTGTCACGGTGGTCCTTGTAGTTTTATAAACGGTGTCACGGTGGTCCTTGTAGTTTTATAAACGGTGTCATGGTGGTCCTTGTAGTTTTATAAACGGTGTCACGGTGGTCCTTGTAGTTTTATAAACGGTGTCATGGTGGTCCTTGTAGTTTTATAAACGGTGTCATGGTGGTCCTTGTAGTTTTATAAACGGTGTCATGGTGGTCCTTGTAGTTTTATAAACGGTGTCATGGTGGTCCTTGTAGTTTTATAAACGGTGTCATGGTGGTCCTTGTAGTTTTATAAACGGTGTCATGGTGGTCCTTGTAGTTTTATAAACGGTGTCATGGTGGTCCTTGTAGTTTTATAAACGGTGTCATGGTGGTCCTTGTAGTTTTATAAACGGTGTCATGGTGGTCCTTGTAGTTTTATAAACGGTGTCATGGTGGTCCTTGTAGTTTTATAAACGGTGTCATGGTGGTCCTTGTAGTTTTATAAACGGTGTCATGGTGGTCCTTGTAGTTTTATAAACGGTGTCATGGTGGTCCTTGTAGTTTTATAAACGGTGTCATGGTGGTCCTTGTAGTTTTATAAACGGTGTCATGGTGGTCCTTGTAGTTTTATAAACGGTGTCATGGTGGTCCTTGTAGTTTTATAAACGGTGTCATGGTGGTCCTTGTAGTTTTATAAACGGTGTCATGGTGGTCCTTGTAGTTTTATAAACGGTGTCATGGTGGTCCTTGTAGTTTTATAAACGGTGTCATGGTGGTCCTTGTAGTTTTATAAACGGTGTCATGGTGGTCCTTGTAGTTTTATAAACGGTGTCATGGTGGTCCTTGTAGTTTTATAAACGGTGTCATGGTGGTCCTTGTAGTTTTATAAACGGTGTCATGGTGGTCCTTGTAGTTTTATAAACAGTGTCATGGTGGTCCTTGTAGTTTTATAAACGGTGTCATGGTGGTCCTTGTAGTTTTATAAACGGTGTCATGGTGGTCCTTGTAGTTTTATAAACTGCTAATTACACCGAAGCAAACATCTCTGCTGTGAGCTACATTTACTGTATCTTTTTTCCTTTTGCCGTTCATTTTCTAACTGTTTATTTTTCCTACTCGGAAGTTGGAATTTTCGAGGAGAAAGCGAATGCGCCGTTAGCTATGTACACAAAAGCTAAACTATCAAGCTAACGTGATCTTAAACAGTTTATTTTGCCGCGGGAGCAGATTAAGATGCCTCAAACTCAGATCGTTGTCTCTGCTTTCATCACCACCCGACAGCACATCGCATTCAGTGAAGTGAAGTCAAACTTTAGAGCGTGTTCGCTTTCTTCTAGTCGGAATTTCGGCGTTCCGTGGTGAAAGCGAACGCGCCGTTAGCTAACTGTGGCATGGGAGTTAAGTGCTCGCCCCATAATCGGAAGGTTGCAGGTTTGAGCCCCACTCAGTCTGTCGCTGTCGTTGTGTCCTTGGGCAAGACACTTAACAGTCCTTGCCTGCTGGTGGTGGTCGGAGTGACCGGTGGGGCCCGTGTACGACAGCCTCGCCTCTGTCAGTGCGCCCCAGGTCAGCTGTGGCTGCATCGTAGCTCATCGCCACCAGTGTGTGAATGTGTGAATGACTGATTGTGTTGTAAAGCGACTTGGGGGGTTCCCAAAAGGCGCCATATCAAATACAGGCCATTTACTATTTATTTACATAATCTTACACTGTTTATTTTGCTGCTGGAGCCGATTAGGATGCCTCATACTGGGATGCTTAGGAAGGAGATTCCTATACTGCAGCTGTGGATCTCATTC